CTCTCTCTCTCTCTCTCTCTCTCTCTCTCTCTCTCTCTTTCTGACTTATCACTGCTCAGGCACTTGCCACAGTTATCTTTATTGCCGATATGGAGATGATATTGCCTGACACTCTAAATGCTGTCTGGAGTTGACTGCAACTCATGCTTGTGCCGCCGTTTTGAGAAAACTGTTTTTGTAGAGAGAGAGAGAGAGAGAGAGAGAGAGAGAGTCGATCATTTACACGTCCAGTGTAGAGTTACCGAGCCACGAGCAGAAGACATTTATTCGACAATTGATTTCATTGTGCATGACTGATACCATCAACAGTGACTGTAATCACAAACAGTTCACTCAACGCTCCCACCTGCACGTTTTGATACCTGTTTTGTTTTTTCAGTTATATTTGGGTCATACGATTCTTGATTCTGACAATGCATTAGTTGAATTCAGTTTATTTTGCAGCACGTTAACCNCGAGCCACGAGCAGAAGACATTTATTCGACAATTGATTTCATTGTGCATGACTGATACCATCAACAGTGACTGTAATCACAAACAGTTCACTCAACGCTCCCACCTGCACGTTTTGATACCTGTTTTGTTTTTTCAGTTATATTTGGGTCATACGATTCTTGATTCTGACAATGCATTAGTTGAATTCAGTTTATTTTGCAGCACGTTAACCCTGCCAAGACTCATCTTTGTCTCAATCAAACCGCCATTATTATGAAAATGTGCTACCAGTGTGAATCAAGTGAAAAACGACTTCACAATGAGATTGAAAAGAGACTTAGGCATGATAAAATACTGGCAAGGAAAGAAGTCAAACTTCTTTTACTTGGCACAGGTGAATCTGGCAAGTCTACATTTATGAAACAGATGAAAATCATTCATGATAATGGATTTAAAAGAAAAGAACTGGAATCACAAAGAAAATACGTGTTTCACAACACCATATTTAACATGCAAACAATTCTCAATCAAATGGAAACTCTGTCTATTCCACTGGAAAGCACTGAAAACCGAGCACACGCTGAGCGCATTTTGACGTTAAACATTACTTTTGAGAATGCTTCTCAGGTCTTTCCAGGCGATCATCTGCCTGCTGAGTTTGTGGAGAGCATCACCTGTTTATGGCAAGACCGTGGTGTACAGTCATGCTATAACCGGCGCAATGAGTACCATCTCTCCGATTCGGCGGGCTACTTTTTCTCCGAAGTGGCTCGGTATGGCGAACCAGGGTACTTGCCAAACGACCGGGACATGGTTCGCATTCGACTTCCCACAACAGGCATCGCTGAGCACTGCTTTCTCATTAAACGAATCTGGCTTCGCATCGTGGACGTCGGGGGACAGCAGAATGAACGAAGAAAGTGGATTCACTGCTTTGACTGCGTCAAGGCGATCATTTTTCTCACTGCAATGAACGAGTACGACATGTACTTTGAGCATGATCACCGAAACCATGGCATGACGCGAATGCAGGAATCGCTGGACCTCTTTAAAGTGATCTCTAGCATCAAAATACTAGCCAATGCGTCTTTTATTTTGTTTCTCAACAAAAAAGATCTCTTTGCGGAGAAGATCGCCAAATCACCACTGAAGGACTTTTGGCCAGAGTACGACGGAGCGAATGAGATGATCGAAGGGGGCAACTTCATTCGACAGCTCTTTGTGACTCATGCATTCGGTGGAGCAGAGCAGTCCATGCCGAGCTCAACCACTGCCAATGGCGCCAGCAATGGCGCCTTGTCGGTAAGGGCAGCCCGTGTTGAGCCAAGGCCAATTTATGCTCACTTCACTTGTGCCACTGATACTAAAAATATCAAATTTGTCTTTGATTCGGTAAAACATGCCATTCTGCAGGAAAACATTGGCGAAATTTTCCCTGATGCGAGATTTTAATGATTTGAAGTGAAGTGAAGCACATCCTTCGCCCATAACAGTTCTGTACATAACCTCTCACTCTGTTCCACCCTTTTCCTTAATCGATTGACAGTGTTTTACTATTACCAATGAATTGAGAATAAAGCAATCATCATCGACGAGAAAACGGTTGCACGTTGACTGATCCAATTTCCGCCACAGTCGATTTGTCAGACTAAATCGCCCTCAGTCTGCCGTAGCCCGTCCGCTCTTGCCCCCTTCCGCCTACTGCTTTAATTACATTAATGCTTTCTCAAGTGCCTTTTTCTTTAGACCTTAGACTGGTCTACTTACTACTTGTCCACCAAGCGCTTTTTCTGTTTCCTTACAACGCTACGCTGTGTTAGTTTAATTTAATTAAAATAACGTGATTGTGGTTTGCAATTAGGCCTGCTTTGTGTGCCTGCTGTTTGGTGGACAGTGATGATTGGCTCAATGCTACTACTGCCATTGCTCACCCGCAGAGATGAGACAACCCAATTGACGCCCGGTTAATTCAATTTGGTACCCAGTGCATCCCGCTGTTTTGTTGACCGCCGAGATTGAAAATTGTTTAAAATATTTTGAAATGTGCACAACTATTAATAAGAGAACACGGCTCAGAAGTGTTTAGGTGAAAAAAAGCTCAAAAGTCACGTTCTCTAAGCGCTACTTTGTTTTTGGCAAAGACAATCTCTGTTTTTCAGCGCAGCTATTTCTGGAACACGTCCTTGAGAGTACTTGGCTGATTGATTAAATTGGCGTCTTTCTGATCACTTTTGCCCACATTTTCATGCCCGTTGACGCCTATCTGTATTTTCAATTTTCCGTGGAAACGTCGACTGTAACACGAATTACAATGATCGCCTCATCTGCCTCAAACCTGCTGGTAATTATCACGACAATCAGTCACCACTGGCTGCACTGGCTCACCAGCACTGCGGAAACCGTTTGCGTAATTAGCTGTAGGTGTACATGCGTTTTTTGGTGCACAGTGGTGTCATTCGTCGATGAACGGCGGCAACGACCGGCAGGCACCTCCGACCACTTTTTCTGATTGCCAGTTTGTGATTTGGGCGAGCGCAGGCATGTTCACTGGCGTTTACCACTTTT